TAGTACTAAATTATAAATTATAAATTATAAAATCTATTTCTATTTCTATTTCTATTCCTAAATTTATAAAACTATAATTTATAATTTATAATTTATAAATTTATAATTAGGAAAAGCCCTTAAGCAAATTATTTTCGAAGTGATATGATGCAGTCAACTGTCCATTTATATTCGAAGTCGAACTAGGCAGCTCATGGGGTTCAGAAGCTCCATTTTAATCATCAATTTCTTCTCATGTTGAAAAACAAACCCTCGCCTTTCTAGGGTTATTTTGTATTTATTTTTTAAATCATTATCTATGATAAACAATAATCATTCCTTTATATTCAGAAAAATATAGTTCGATTGACGTTATAAGAAATGTGATCAAAACATCGAATCAATTATGGAATGAGAATGTTGGTTGATACGGATCCAAAGGGTGCATAATGATATGAATAGAGCGAATGACTATGATATTATACAAATGATAATTATAACGATATGTTCTTGAAATTAAATTCCCACATGAGTAGAGATATTTTAATATTGTGCAATGACAGAACTATTAAATACAGTGAAAATATGATTCATTTTAAACGAAAGCAAACATAAATAACAGAATAGTTCTATACCACTAACTAACCTATTCTAGGATTTATTTATATTGTCAGTTATCGTTTGATCTTTGCAGTTCTTTAATTTAGTTCCGAATACATCAAACATCAATACAATAAATTGATCTTATGCATATTACAATCATGGTAAACAGTTTTAATTAAACAATAAGCTGCTATATCTAGAAATCAATTAATTAAATTGTTATTGTAATTTAGACATTGCCTACATTATTCAATGACTATGATATAGCATGATTTTGTTACCAGATGTAGTGAAACATCTCTCTTCTTACCTGATCATTCTTGTTTTACTAGACAAAATCAATTACTTCATATAATTCATTGAATAGATTTCTATACAATGTAAAATTATTGTTATTTTCAAATATCACACAATATTAAAATATAATTTTCCTCCGTTCATAACTAGCTACATATGAAATGATGTTTGAGGCTATTCTTCTCACAACTTTATTTATCGCAGTTTGCTTCAACATCAGAGATATGTATTAGTTTATACAACTATTCTAAAATATCACATTTTCAGTAAATTCTACAGAATTCTAGATTATTGTAAGCACTAGCTGCACCCACTCATGTTATTCCAATCTTGTTCACACCTTGAACACTATTCGTTTCATCAAGTAACACCGTCAGACTCTCAACAGCTATCCCAGCAATCTCAAAAGCTAGTTTATGCGTATATAATTCATGAAAATCTTGCATTTTCACCTTTGATTTTTCATTAAGTCAAAAATATACAGTTCATATTAATTTGAACAAAATTGCTAACTAGTCAATTTCTTAAACACCCTCTCATTGTTCTCTTGCATAGAGCTAAATTTTATTTTATTTGAAAAGAAAAACAAGTTGCCATGATGAATGTGTATATTATATGTAATACAGGAATGAGTAAGTGTTAACCGATGTAATCACCATTTGACCACATTCCATCTTTTACTTGACCATTAGCACAGCGCATTTTACCCCTCCCGTGTTGATTACTGTTTTTGAATTGCCCCACGATTTATTCATTGATCACATGAACCATGTTACTCGGTTAATCCACTGTCACTCTTGACGATGAAGTGACGTTTAAGCACGCGTCTTCTCGTATCTGTCACCACTGGGCCATGTATGAATCCCTTGGCCTGTCATCCTGTCATTCTGCCATTGACCCAGGACTTATTCTCTTGTCACGTCACCTATGCCAGTCAGCTCATTGAGTACCACCATTGATGATGAATTGACGTTTGAGAACGCGCCTTCTCGTATCGTGCACCACTAGGCCACGTGTAAATCCCTTCACCCGTCTTCTTCTCATCGACCCAATCACCTGTATACGTCTTCCCATTGGTGTAAGATCTGGTGCCTTTTCCATTCATCTTGTCATCCTTCCATTGTCCCAAGATTTATTCACTGATCACATGAGCTATATTACTGTGTTCATTGAGTACTACTATTGTTGATGAATTGACATCTGAGAACGCCTCTTCTCGTATTGATCACCATTGGAAAATATCAAAGTTCCTCGACCATTCTTCTTGTTATCGATCCAATCACCTGTATACTTATCCTCATTTGCGTAGGATCTGGTGCCTTTTCCATTTATATGGTCATCCTTCCATTGTCCCAAGACCTATTCACTGATCGCATCAACTATATTACTGTGTTCATTGAATACTACCATTGTTGATGAATTGACATCTGAGAACACCTCTTCTCGTATCGATCACCATTAGACCATGTTAAACTCCCTTTACCTGTTCTCTTGCCATCGACCCAGTCACCTGTATACTTATCCTCATTGGCATAGTATATGGTGCCTTCTCCATTCATCTTGTCATCCTTCCATTGTCCCAAGACTTATTCACTGATCACACGAACAATGTTACTGAGTTCATTGAGTACCTTCATCAATGATGGGATGACATTTATGAATATCTATTCTCGTATCGTTCACCATTAGGCCATGTAAAAATCCCTTTACCTGTTCTCTTGCCATCTTTCCATTGGCCCTCGTATCGCTTACCGTTAGGCCATGTGTAAATTCCATCACCTGTCATCATATTATCGACCCAGTCACCCCTATATTTATTCCCATTAGACAAGAATTTGGTGCCTTTTCCATTGAACTTGTTATCTTTCCATTGCCCCAAGCGCTATTCACTGATCACATAAACTATACTACTTAGTTCATTTAGCGATTCAATAAATGGTGGGATGGCATTTAAGAATACCTTTGCTCGTATCGCTCACCGGTAGACCATGTGTGAATTCCATGACCTGTGATCATATTATCGACCCAATCACCCGTATACTTATTCCCATTGGTGTAAAATCTGGTGCCTTTTCCATTCGTCTTGTCATCTTTCCATTGTCCCTAGGGCTATTCACTGATCACATGAACTATATTACTTAGTTCATTTAATGCGACAGTAAAGGATGAGATGACATTTAAGAATACCTTTGCTCATATCGTTCACCACTAGGCCATGTGAAAATTCCTTGGCCAGTCTTCTTGTTATCGATCCAATCACCTGTATACTTATCCCCGTTGGCGTAGTATTTGGTACCTTTTCCATTCATTTTATCATCCTTCCATTCCCCCAAACACTATTCACTAATCACATGGACTATGTTACTCAGTTCACTTACTAGTGTAATAGATGATGAACTGACATTTAAGAATATCTCTTCTCGTATTTATCACCATTATGCCATATGAAAGTTCCTACGCCATTCATTTTGTCATCGACCCAGTCACCTTTATACTTATTTCCATTGTCGAAGCAGAGTGTTCCTTCTCCATTCATTCTGTTATCCTTCCATTTTCCCAAGACTTATTCATTGATCACATGCTCTACGCTAATATGCTGATTTAGTAGCAGCATTGTTGATGAATTGACATTTAAGAACAGCTCTTCTTGTATCGATCACCATTAGGGCATGTGAAAATTCCTTCTCCTGCCCTCTTGTCATCGACCCAATCACCCGTATACGTATTCCCATTGGCATAGTAGAATGTGCCTTTTTCATGTCGTTTCTGGTTCTTCCATTCTCCTTCATATCTACTGTCATCTTCATAGATATGAACTTTAAATGTTGAATCTTCAACATTCATTGATACTTCTGTATAAGATTGAAAGAAACAATGATACACAATTGGATATTTCATATAAAAGCTACTTTACCGGTTTGGGTGTTGGTAGATGTATCAATATTCATAGTTGGTAGCGTCGATGGAAGTTTCTCATCATTTTCGCCCAACAATTCCATCAAATGTACAACATTTAATGATGAAGAATCGAGTGCATCACTCACAACACGAACTCGAGTACCCAAACCTAGAATCACTTCGTTTTCTTCAGGAAAATTACTATATGCTGATATGAGTTTTCCATTCTTAGCTTCGATGAGAAATAATGTAGAAGATTGGCCAAGAAATTGTTTCACTACGTCTACTGAAGTTGAGCTGGAAGTAATATTCCACCAAGTTAGCTCTTCACCTTTTTTGAAGTTTTTACTGATATCCACATTCACTCCACGCCATAAATTTTTTTGATAGCTTGGCAGTTTTTTCAGTGCACTATTAAATAATTTCAGATAATTATGCCATGGTACTAAAACAGTTCGATCAGTAATTCGAAGTAGTCCATTAAGTACTCGATAAAGGCTTTGTTCGCCCCAATCCATTGTATATATATAAATAGCTGCTGATTCTTCACGAGTTAGGCCATGTTCTGAAGGAAAGTGACATTCAGTCTTTGCAATTTGAATGAATTCATCTAGTTCAATGATGTGTGGTAGAACAGGCTCAAGAGCTTGTCGAAGTGGAAGTAATGGATGAGTGCGATACCCATAAACTGGTGGAAGTCGTGTTGGTTTATGATCAACGTTTGTAAAGCGAAGCATTTCTTATAAGGAATAAAGTGTAGTTACAATGGTTGATCTAAAGTAGTGAATCAGTGAAAGCTCAGTTATTAATAGATGATTCCCAGCCAGACAAGCGTTGAAAAAGCGACGTTTTTAAGCGTTAGAAAAAAAGCTTTTTAGAAAAAATGAATTTCACAATGTTAATGTTTACAAACTTGCTTTTTCTTCAAAAAGCATTTCTTTTCGAACGTGTAAAGACGTCGTTTTTTTCAACATTTGTCTGAATGGGTATGAATTCTTCAAACGTATAAAGCAAATATACCCAGTTAGACAACGGTGTGGGTGCGAATGAGAGTAAAGGAAGTCCGTGATCCTCATCCACACGCTAAGAATAAAATTTACTAGAATAAAATTATTTAAATCAAATGATTTGAAAAAATCCTAACAGTTTGTGAATCTCAAATGGTATTATATGTGCGACTTAAGCTTGTTTTCACCGAATAATCCGTTTTGTGTGTTTTGCAAAATAACAACATTTGTCTTTTTTTCCTTTTTTATTCAACTACGCATTCTATTGTGAAAGAATGTGCAAAGATTAAAAAAAAGACATTCAAGGTCTGCAATACACAAAACAATGTTACTGCGAAGAAAGAGAAAAAGAATTCATATGAATTTAAATGCTGTGCAATCAAACATTGTTGACACAAAACGATATTCTTTGTAATGCAATATAAATGTCTTCGAAAATAAAAAAAATCTGATGAAATAAAGATATTATGTTATTCATCTAAATGTATTTTTTCGATAGTGAGATTATTGAAAAATTTTGATAGACAGAACATTTCATAGACACGATATTGAGGGTGCGGATGGCTATTATATCCTCAATGCACTTGTACACTCATTCTCACCAATATTCTGACTTTAGTCACATCCCCGTCTATATGCTATCCTATCCGTGAGATCGTTTTCTATAAAAAAAACCTTCTCTGCAAAGTCTGTTGACTAATTTCTCTTTAAACGATCAATATACTATGGTGAAACAGAAGTCATCTGAATCAATGAATAATTCTAAAAAACGAGTTTATTTTATTTTTCAGTGAATTGATCTAAGATAGTGTTTGAAAAAGAAGAAATGTTTTAAGAAAAGTCATTTAACAGATTTGTGAAAATCATTTCTTTATTCATATTAACCCTTTGAGACCCACAATTTAATCTATGGACGAAACCTCTTAAAAACTTGATATTCTGTATGAGCATTGAGTATTATTAACACTTCAATTGATATTTTAAAAAAATATTTTAAGTCATTTTTAACTTTTAGCCGTACCCCCTACGGGAATGATGAGAAATATTTTAGCCACTTCCTTGGAGGTGTACGAACGGGAGCCTAAAAACTGACTCAATAGGGTTTTTAATCTCGCACAAATATGTCTTAACTACGAACATTTGTTAAATATATTCGAAATGTTTTGAAAACTAGAATTTTTCGCTAGGTGGGAAATATATGTCCCACTGGGACTCAAAGGGTTAAAAACAAAATCTTTTGATGAATACCGATTAGATTTTCATTATTTAGAATTGAATTATTTCAATTAATAATATTTCACTTCTATTTTCATCAGATTCGACGATTTTCATTAAAGATCGTTAAGAATAGAATAAATTTAATGTCAGACATAAATGAAATATTTATTTAAACAATTATTCGCAAAGAAATTCTCCATTATAACTGAATTTAATTTTCATTCATATAACATCATGCGATTGTCGATTCCTTTTTCATTCTCTTCCTTGTTAATAAAAAAATTTTTTTGGTGTGGGTGGGTGTGGGTGTGGATGTGAGATATGAACAAGGCTCACACCCTCACCCTCACCCACATTCATACCCTCAACATATTTCATTACGGACATCCTGCTTATTTAATTTAATTTTGTCATTCTGACATCCTTGACGAAAATTTCGAATAATTTTTTTGTTAGAAGTTCGTAACAGACATCTACTCCGGGACTTCGGAATGACGAGGTGGTACGAAACGCAGTTTTCCCGTGTGTATTCATTGCATCTGTTACTTAAATCAACCTTCAAACAAAATATGCACGTATTCTACATCATACTTTTATCAAATGAAATAAATGGATTGAAATCATCGTATAAACTATATGTATACATAATGAGTCATATTATATTTGTTAAACATGTGGATATAGAAATATCAAAAAGATTAAAAGATAAGTGATATTGGAAAATAATTTTGAACAAATTCTTCTTTAAATAATAAGCAAGGAAAAGATATGCATTGAGATATTTCAAATGTAAAAACAAGAGTTTAGAAATGTTCATAGTAACGAACTGTCAACAGTTTTTTCAATGTATTATGATGCATATTAATTACTTTCACCATGAACTAAAGTATTGCACATATCATACATTGATCTGCGCATGCAAATCAGTATATTATGTTATACTTGAATAGAATTCAATTGTTCTTTATTTTTAAATGGACAGATATCAATAGCTTAATCACTCACCCCATAAATCTTTATATTAAATTAGCGCATGCTTTTTAAACATATATCAATGAAAATATTGTTTCAGTTTTTTGTTTCCTTTATATAT